ATGATTCATGCATGCCCCTGAATATGATATATACAGAATATCACATCATTTTGAGTGATATTATTTTTATCGCCGAGTTGATATCAAATATCAACACGAGTGAGCGAAGCGAATGAGTGTTGATATTTGATATCTACGAGGCGATAAAATGATATCACGAGAAATTATTTCTTCTAGGGCGCAATGTAAATCACAGCTATACGACAAATTAGATATTCCATATCTCTCGAATAGAATGTTTAATCGATAAGTCCTTGGTAGAGCAAATGTAAAAATGTATCCTCCAAAATATCATTAATTTGCAAATAGCATGCTGCCACCAACGTTACGTACGACTGGTCCGAAAATTGACATTTCGTCTAGATCGCAAACTATCTCGTATTAGCGATTTAGGACATATTAAATATAAAATATTTCACGACCAGAAACGCCAGTAATTAAATCCTTCGTAGAACAAACGTAAAAACCTATATTGGAACGTCTCACAAATCAGTAAAGGACTAGCTAGTGCCAGCGTGACGTACGACTGGTCATAAAATTGACATTTCGTCTAAATCGCAAATTGTATCAGAGATTTAAGACAAATTAAATATAAAATATTTCACTATCAGAAACGTCATCCATTAAATCCTTCGTAGAACAAACGTAGAAACATACATGAATGCTGGAACGCCTCACAAATCAGCAAAGGACTAGTTAGTACCAGCGTGACGTACGTCTGGTCAGAAAATTGACATTTCGTCTAGAGCGAAATGTAAATCAGAGCTTTATGACAAATTAGATACTCATAATCTCACGAATAGAATGACCATACAACAAGTTCTTGGAAGAGGAAATGCAAAAATTATATCCTTACACGTTGGTCAAATAACCAAACATCATGCTCCTACCAGCATGACGTAAGACCGGTCCGAAAATTGACATTTCGTCTTGAGCGCAATGTAAATAGGAGCTTTGCGACAAATCCTACAAATTACAAGATGCATTATATCTCATTGATAAAATAACCAATCAAAGAGTCCTTGGTAGGGCAAATGTAAAAATGTTTCCATAAACATCTCACTAAGTAGCAAATATCCTACTGCGACCAGCGTTACGTACGACTGGTCCGAAAATTGACATTTCATCTAATGTAAATTAAAGCTTTATGTCAATATGCTCAATATCTCACGAATAGAATGACCACTCAACAAGTCCTTTGGAGAACAAATGCAAAAATAAATACTTTAACGTTTCTTAAACTAACAACCCACATGCTGCTACCAGCGAGACGTAAGACTGGTCCGAAAATTGACATTTCGTATTGAGTGCAATGTAAATCAGTGCTTTACGACAAATCAAATATTCAATATCTCTTGAATAGAATGACTAATCAATTAATCTTTGGTAGAGCAAAGGTAAAAAATATAGCCTCCAAAATCTCATTAATTATCAAATAGCATGCTGCCCCAAACGTAAGGAGTCATTAAATTCTTCGTAGAAAAAACCGTACAAACATATACTGAAACGTCTCACAAATCAGCAAATGACTAGCTAGTAGCAGCTTGACGTACGACTGGTCAGAAAATTGACATTTAGTCTAGAGCGAAATGTAAATCAGAGCTTTATGACAAATTAGATACTCATATTCTCACGAATAGAATGACCATACAACAAGTTTTTGGAAGAAAGTATATCCTTACACGTTGCTCAAATTAGCAAACATCATGCTCCTACCAGCATGACAAAAGACCGGTCCGAAAATTGACATTTCGTCTAGAGCGCAATGTAAATCAGAACTTTGCGACAAATCCTACAAATTAGATACCTTATATCTCACGAATAGAATGACGAATCGACAAGTCCTAGGTAGTGCAAATGAAAAAATGTATCCTGAAACATCTCACTAATTAGCAAATATCCTGCTGCGACAAGCGTTACGTACGACTGGTCCAAAAATTGACATTTCTTCTAGAGCGCAAACTGCATCAGAAATTAAAGACAAATTGGATATAAAATATATCACGAAGTGACAAATCAGTCATTAAATCCATTGATGAGCATACTTCAAAACAAATACTTAAACGTCTCACAAAATAGCAAAGGACTAGCTAGTAGCAGTGTGACGTACGACTGGTCCGAAAATTGACATTTCTTTTAGAGCGCAAACTGCATCAGCGATTTAAGCCAAATTAGATATAAAATATTTGAGGAACGGAAACATAAGTCATTCAATCTTTCGTAGAGCAAACGTAGAAAGATATTCTAAAACGTCTCTCAAATCAGCAAAGTACGAGCTAGTACCAGCGTGGCGTAAGACCGGTCCGAAAATTGACATTTCGTCTAGAGCGCAATGTAAATCAGATCTTTTCTACAAATCCTACGAATAAGATACCCAATATCTCACGAATAGAGTGACCATTCAAGAAGTCTTTGTTAGGGCAAATGTTAAAATGTATACTCAAACATCTCACTAATTAGCAAATATCCTGCTGAAACAAGTGTGACGTAAGACCGGTTCGAAAATTGACATTTCGTCTAGAGCGCAATGTAAATCAGAGCTTTGCGACAAACGCTACAAATAAGATACTTTATATCTTACGAATAGAATGACCAATCAACAAGTCTTTGGTAGGGCAAATGTTAAAAAGTATCCTTAAAGATATCACTAATTAGCAAATAACATGCTGCCTCCAGCGCTACGTAAGACTGCGCCGAAAATTGACATTTCGCAGAGAGCGCAAATTGTATAGGAGATTTAGACAAAGTAGATTTAAAATATTTTAAGACCAGAACCATCTGTCATTAAATCCCTTTTAGAGAAAACGAAGAAACATATACTGAAAAGTCTCACAAATCAGCAAAGGACTAGCTAGTACCAGCTTGACGTAGGACTGATCAGAAAATTGACATTACGATTAGAGTGAAATGTTAATCAGAGCTTTGTGACAAATTAGATACTCAATATCTCACGAATAGAATGACCATACAGCAATCCTCTGGTAGAGCAATTAAAAAAATATCACCACACGTTGCTCAAATAAGCAAACATCATTCTCCTACCAGCGTGACGTACATCGGTCCGAAAATTGACATTTCGTCTAGATCGCAAACTGTATCAGAGATTTAAGACAAAATGGATATAAAATTTTTCACGCCCAGAAACACCTGTCATATGATTAAATCCTTCTTAGAGCAACCGTAGAAACATATATTGAAACGTATCACAAATCAGCAAAGGACTAGCTACATGTACTAAATTTTGTGTAAGCCTTGTTTTAAATTTCAAACTCACTAAGTCTTACGTTCAAAATATACATTAGGCCTACTAGGCCTAAATGCATCACCGAATGCGATGCAATTACATAAATCGTTCGTCCTTTCACTGATAGGTTACACAGTAGTAGAACATAATGCACCAACCTTAATTTTCTCTTCCATCGCGGCCATTTTATTGGATAAATCAGTGAACGTAGCCGTCCAATCTCGTTTTCAGAGGTTGCGTAACCGTCATGCGAAAGCAGGCTGGTTTTTCTATTTGCGAATAGGCGCCCATGGCGTAGAATAATGGAAATAACGTCACTACGCATGCGCGTAAATCGACATTTCATGGTCCAAAGATTTCAATGGAGAGCAGTCTTCATCAAAATTTAAAATCTTAATAACTTTTTAGCAAATCATTTATTTTCTTAGGATTCAACGGATCCTTGTTACACCCAACGAAGTGTTCGTTATGACATATAAATCAGCAAAATCCATTCATAGATCTTTCGGCCTTTTAATGATTTATTTTTCGGGATATTTTGTTAAAATTCCCCATATTATAAACTTTGAAAAAACTCAAATCCTCATCATTTTATATCATTCGTTAAGTGCCCTAAACAACTCCAATCGCTTCTAGGATTCAACGGATTCTAACTTATCAAAGCTACTGTATGTAATACAATATGTTGACAACCCCCGTTCAAGATTTGCCTTTTATAGGTTATAAATTTGTCAATATTTTGATTTTCGAATATTAATGACGTGCTTGGATCCGAGATTCATTGTCCAGGTGTAAAAGGGTAGGAGGTCCTATCAAATTATAGTCCTACTCTTTCCGATTGATTTATATGGTGACCTAAGTACAACTCTTTCCCTTATTATCGTATTCACAATCAGGGCCAGTAAGGGCCTTTAAGAAAGGGGACCATAATCCCCAGGGGACCATAATTTCTTTTACACCGGTGTAAAAGCAGGCCTGTCAACTGTCCCGCAATTTGCGTATTTGTCACGCATTTGCTGAAGAATTTGAAGTCACGCCAGTTATTTTTGCGTGACAGAAAATGTCACGCAAATACGCATTTTACCTGGTAATTGTCAAGCAAAAATTTTTCTGGAGAAAATGTTCTAAAAAAGATCGTCTACACAGCAAAAATACGAACGACGGGAAAAATCGTACGCATTTCGTTCGGACTTTTCACGCGAACTAGGGATATGTCACGCATTCCGTTCGAAATTTTTCGTACCTACGCGAAAAATTTGAGGTGTTCAAAATTTGGCAAGATGTAATAAAATTTAAACCAAGGTGTTCAAAATTTGGATCAAGGTGTTCAGATTTGGACCAAGGTGTCCACATTTGTAGGGGAGGTGTTCAACATTTCCAAGTCACTCATGTTAGGTGTTCCCAAGTTGACAGGCCTGTAAAAGGGTAGGAGGTCCTATCAAATTATAGTCCTACTCTTTCCGATTGATTTATATGGTGACCTAAGTAATTGAGCCAGCTGTGTTCAGTAAACTCTTTCCCTTATTATCGTATTCACAATCAGGGCCAGTAAGGGCCTTTAAGAAAGGGGACCATAATCCCCAGGGGACCATAATTTCTTTTACACCGGGATTCATGACGCTATTTCCATTATTCTACGCGATGTTCATGTATGTAGATTGTAGATAGCCTACGTAGTTTATCATTTTGTGTATAGATGTCACTCATATAAATTTATATCTCGCTATAGCGGGTTTAGTTTGTTTTCGTAGTTACATGTTCTTATTGGGAGTTAAACTTTGACCAAGGAGGATTGGCTCCCAGAGTGCAACATCGATATTCTGTCCCATATATGGAAATGTCGTGATTCAAAATTTGAATTCAAACAGCCGCCATTTTGTTCACTTCAACATTTGAATGGTGAATTTCGGTCTTATTCCTAACCGAAAAATTCCAAAACTCATAAGAAATGATCGAGATATTGGTTCGAATCTTTTGGACTGTTTATTTTGAACTTATAGTCGGTAATAATTTCCGACAATAACGACATTTCGACGTTTTCATTGTTGGAAAATATCGATTGTCGATCCTGGGAGCCAATCCTCCTTGACTTTGACACAGGTAAAAATCGAAATGTTTAATTGAATTATTTTGCTCGGTAATACGCTAGGTACCATAACAAATCAAATAATGCGAAATTCAGAGTCACATCTAACAGGTGTAGGGTGAACTTTATCCTAGGACTAGGAGTAATTCAGCTCGGGTGATTCAGCCATAATTTCATGTCACCATATTTTCAAAATCTAGACTAGTCTAGTCTAGAGTCCATTTCACTGCTTCAGTTCGTCAGTAGAACGGCAAAAATAAGAAATTGGGAGACTATTGTGCAATAATATATGGAAAAGTATATTCATAATGTACATGAATGACATTTGTATATTTCAGATTTTTTAGTTTTTTGTGCAATAAGCCTGTGCCGTCTTGTAAATTGAAGAATTTCAGCCATGTTAATCTTAATGAAAATAACATGGCAGAGAAACATCCAAATATAAGAGGCCACACACTTTATAAGCCAAACTAGAAGCAATCCAAGATATACAAATGTCATTCGTGTACATTATGAATATACTTTTCCATATATTATTGCACAATGGTCTCCCAATTTCTTATTTTTGCCGTTCTACTGACGAACTGAAGCAGTGAAATGGACTTTAGATATCGATATCTACATGTATCCAGACAGTTATTATTATTAACAAGCTATCCAAGATATACAAATGCCATTCGTATGCAATATGAATATATTTTCTATATATTATTACCAGGCCTGTCAACTGTCCCGCAATTTGCGTATTTGTCACGCATTTGCTGAAGAATTTGAAGTCACGCCAGTTATTTTTGCGTGACAGAAAATGTCACGCAAATACGCATTTTACCTGGTTATTGTCAAGCAAAAATATTTCTGTAGAAAAAATTTCTAAAAAAGATCGTCTACACAGCAAAAATACGAACGCCGGAAAAAAATGTACGCATTTCGTTCGGACTTTTCACGCGAATTATGTATATGTCACGCATTCCGTTCTAAATTTTTCGTATCTACCCCCCCCCCCCCCCCCCCCCCCCCCCCCGTTGATGGATGTTTGAAACGCGAGCGTAGCGATCGCGAAAAATTTGAGGTGTTCAAAATTTGGCAAGATGTAATAAAATTTAAACCAAGGTGTTCAAAATTTGGATCAAGGTGTTCAGAATTGGACCAAGGTGTCAACATTTTGAGGGAAGGTGTTCAACATTTCCAAGTCACTCATGTTAGGTGTTCCCAAGTTGACAGGCCTGTATTACAGAATGGTCCTTTGATTTCTTATTTTCCAGGTTCAACTCTTAAACAATGTTAAGCAGTCTTAACATTACAGCTGTAACTTAGATAAAAAATAATTTTTCCCTAGAATAGATCAATGGCGAGACCAGTAGAGAAGTCAGGGTATTGTAAGATCAGAAAGAAGTCTGAAAGGGAGCACAACAAACTGGTTGCTGCTACTGCTGCCCAATTGGAAGAGGACATCCTAAAGCTCTATGAGACCAAGGAACACTCTGATGTAACTGTACATATAGATGGCAGGCCTATACAACTACATAAAGCCATCCTTTGGGCCAGGTGAGTTAGACTTGATTTGAGGCTGAAAAATATCATCAAATGCCAATGCAGTTCACCAAGAGGGGGAGAAACCCCAGGGTTCAAAGATGACATATGCTTATAATGGTTTAAAACTAGGTCAATTTGAAAACTTTGAAAACCAAGATGGAGGGTACTTTTTCGACAAAAGGAGGTGCGCGAAGGAGGAAATCGTATGTCATCAATTGAATCATGGGGTTTTCCCTCCTCTTCAGTTCACCCTTGGCAAAAGTTAAACTCAAAATTAAAACGATTCTCATGAATATGAAATTTAACCCATATCCAATCAGAATATGATCGAGATAAAATATTGTTTTTGCCTGACAATGATAATGATTATATATTGTCATCCCTCCATATACCAATTCCATAGGATATACATGTAAAGTCAAGTACTAAACAAATACTGGATGACCACGAGGTGGATATGCCAGAATACCTACATTGTATCCGAGGAAAAAAATACTAGGCGAGGCGAATTATTATGCACCTCCCTTGGTTAATATCATATTCCTACCATTAATTTACTGCAGATAAATAAAAGATGGTGTTAAATTGTCAAGAAATACTTTATTTTAAAGAATGGGTCTACTAAAACAGAAGCCGAGCCTAGTCTTTTTTTTCGAGGATAGGTATTCTGGCATACGGGATGGTTGGAGATCTCATTGCTTTAATACTGGATAGAACGAGATCTTGCTGCCATGTATGGCAATATAGACCCTGCAGCTCTTAACCAATCAGATTTGAGTATTTTAATGATGTGCATAATATATGTATATACGGTGCAGGCCCGTAGCCAGGGGGGGTTCGCAGGCCAAAAATTCTTTCAAAATCATGCAGTTTTTCACCATTTTGAGCACTTCTCAGGTGATTTTAGCCATATTTGGGCCAAAATTGTCAAATGTGAACCCCCCCCTTGAAATTTTTGAAAACTGAAAAAATCCTGGCTACGGGCCTGGGTGTACAGTGTGAGTCATCAACTGATTGATTTACAGTATGATTAAATAAAAATATTTCTTCAGAATGTTTCAGAACAATCCAAATTTAGGAGAATTCTTTCTAGAGGAATCAAACCTCTCGACTGCACACCCCTCTCTGACTTGTACAACTCACAACAGTGATCCACTTAGAGACTTTAGGTAAATGTATACTTCATTATAGGCATACAGTATATGAAGCATATCTAAAATAATTGTATATTGTATGCCGAGATACATACTATGGAGCATTGTTTGCTCCTAAATATTGAGATACACTTCATAGAGATCATTATATGATCAGTATTGTTTGAACAAATTACATATTGTATGCTAAATACATTCTCTGGATCACTATACATGTGTTCATTTGGTTGGAAGAAAAGGCTGACACCACAAAAGGATGGCACTTAGAAAAAGGATGACACTAGCAGAAAAAGGATGACACCTGTAATTCTAAAATAGTAGTGGAATATAATGATAGAATGTAATAGAATTGTCAATTTAGTGTATCTCATCTTAATTGTTTCATATTTTGTCAATATTTTGTAATTATTCAGCATGTAAATTTTATGATGAAGTACATGTAGTTCATGCAGAGATGTCACCACATGCAATATACTACTTTACAATTTGTCTTTAGAATCAATCCTTACAAATACATAAAATTGAAAATCAAATTACGGTGAAAAGAAAAGGAAAACAATGGAATCAAAAGCAAGCTACATGTATATGAAACTCCTTATTTGATTGTGAACTTATTCTTTGATTAAAAAAAACAAAATAATATGTCACATACACAAGCAAGCAGGGTGTTAGGTTCAAACGTAGTACATATTAAAAATTAACATCAATAATGTATAAAAACAAATTTCATGACCAAACTTTATACTTTATGGATGGTCTAATGGGGCAATCTTGGTAGACATGACAATAGGTATACATGTGACCAAACAAAATATCATAACATTTGGTGCATAAAGTTCAATTTAGTGTCATCCTTTGTGTCATCGGTTTATGGTGTCATCTCTTTCTTTCAACTGGTGTTCATTACACATTGAAATACAGGAGGTACATGCATACATTTTCTTGCAGAGAGCTATATACAGGGACTTCAGACAGCAACTTCCTCAGTTCATATGTGTGGGAAAATGATGATTTGAATATTTACCCCTCTAAGAAAGTTGGACCTCCAGAAACACACTTGGAGAAACAAGTGCACTCAGACACACAAGGAGACCAAGAGACACAAGGACAGTCAGAGACACAAAGAGACTCTGAGACACAAGGACAGTCAGAGACACAAGGAGACTCTGAGACACAAGGACAATCAGAGACACAAAGACAATCAGAGACACAAGGACAATCAGAGACACAAGGAGACTCTGAGACACAAGGACAGTCAGAGACACAAGGAGACTTTGAGACACAAGGACAATCAGAGACACAAGGACACTCAGAGACACAAGGACACTCAGAGACACCAGGACAATCAGAGACACAAGGACAATCAGAGACAGAAGGACACTCAGAGACACAAGGTCACTCTGAGAGACATAAACACACTGAAAAAGATGGATATAGCGATACAAATAAAGAAACTGTTAACTGCAAAAATGTAAATTCATGTGATAGTGATCCTGCAAATGGAAAAATCACCTTAGTAGGGGATAAGGCATATTCAACACTAGGAAGAGACCTTGTAGCGCTGTATAGGTCTGGTAGATATACAGATGTCTCACTTGTAGCAGGAGATGAAGAATTTAGAGTTCACAGGTGAAACTAGCTGTATATCAGTTGTCTATGATGTTATTTCAAAGGTATCCCACTAGATACATGTAGCAGGTGGTATTCAATGTTATTCCATATAAAGTTACTCCAGATTTCAAATTATGTTATTACAAAAATCATGTTATTCTTGATATAAAATTATGGTATTTCAGATAAAGAATTACGTTATTTTAGATATTGAATAATGTTAATACTCAAGATGTCAAATTATTTATTCCAGACATATATAAAATAATGTTATTCCAAAATAATATAAGATCATGTGGGTATAAAATTATGCTATTTCAGATGTATATTAAGCTGTAGGAGTGAATACTTTTCAATGATGCTAAGTGGAAACTGGAATGAAGCAGAAAAACAAACAATTTCTTTAATGGGGTATGTTCAGACAACATGTTTTTCATTTTTTGTCCCACACTTCTAACATATTTTACGGACATCTTGTAGCTTGATAGGACAGGATTTTAGAAAAATACAAAAATGGCCCATACATGTACAGGATGGTCCAAAAAGATATTTATTTTTGAAATACGGGTGTCCCATTTTTTCGGACCACCCTGTATATTTGAACATTCTGTCTTCTAACAGAAAACAGAAAATTTAGGAATTGTTATTTCAATATTTCACTGAAATATTTTAATTTTGAACAATGCATTCTTCCATAATGATATAGTGTCAATATCGACTAAATAAAATTTCATTATACAATAATTAGTTATTAATTACATGAACCTAAAATTACAAAAAGTTATCATGGGGCAGGGATCTATCTTGATTTGTATTTTAGTGTAACACCTGCAGCACTCGACCAGGCACTAATTTACTTGTATGGTGGAACAATAGATGTCTCCCCAAACTGCCCACTTACAGATGTTGTCATATTAGCGGACATGTATGCTATACATGGATTGAAAGAGACAGTGGAATTCTGTATGATAAGGGATTTCTGCCATTTCTTTCCTGAAGTAAATGCAATGATTATTGGACATGTTATTAATTTTTTTTTCAAAAGTCTCCAAAATAACTTTTAAAAGTCATAGAAAATAGTAAATGAATAATAAGAACATATTTTCAAACTTTGCATGGAGTCTTGAATATTTTAACGAATATATTTTACCACTTTTTGAACAGGGTCAATAAATAGCAGCATGTCGAAAATCGAAATGTACATGTATCAATGGCAAACATAAATTTCAGACCCCTTGTCAAGGTTGCATTGTGGGGGTGCCAAAGGTGCTGCCTCTAGCCAGGATATATTGTCTTGATGGGATTGCGACACCTGCTGTGGCATGGATAACAACTCACTATGTTAGAGTTTGGCCAAACAAGGCATTTTCCCAGCTGCCCCAGGAAATCCGAGAAGAATCCTGCAATAGGTTGATAGAAAGCATCGTAAGTACAAGTAGACTATGCTTTGGATAAGATTATGAAATAATAGATTAAAGTAAAATATTTTTCTAGAAAGTTACTTGTCAAAAATGAGCTTGAGAGCTAAACAAAGGTACCCTGATCAAGCCACTTTCTAATCTGTAGAAAAAACAAACATACATGTACATACATTAAAAACATACATGTACATGTATTTGCAGAGCAGGAATAGCATTGTGGGTCTTATAAATGACCTCAGTACAATTGAAGGGAGACTTCCCTTTATTCGTTGGGCAGACATTGTAAGACAACACATAGATGTTCTCAAGTCGAAAACTGAGGTGTTCTTGAGAAACAATATAGACAGTGTAGCAAGTAGCTTCTTCTGCTTGACTGATAATGTAAGTATTTTAAATGACCATGACCAGTATCCTCCAACATTAATTTTTCTCATTATTTTAGGGGCGTGTACACAAGGGTTTCCAATATTACTCTTGAGCCTAGACATTCATATGCAAAGAAAAATCATTAACCCATATAAAATATTCTGCTTTTGTTGTATTTATTATTGTTATGTCACCGTGTCAACACCAGAAGTAGTGACATATTGTTGTGGTCTCCAACTTTTTTATGATCTGTAACAAATGGCGGTTGGTGTCTGTAAAAAATGGCAGGTGGTGACATTTCGCATCTTAATGCCTTGTTCAGGAAAAACATGTCTTAGTGAACACCTTTATCTAGTGAACACCTCTCTAGTGGACAGGCTTCCTCCGCACATACTCTACTGACTTCTGTATAAATCACCCTCTCTGTAATGTACAGTGGTACACCATGGGCTTTCAATTAGTTGAAAACCCATGGGTACACCTACCTACAGTGAACACATTTTTATGTGTCCGTAGGTGTTCAATGCACAGAGGTTTAACTGTATTTACTATTGTATTTATTTAGCATACATCATGGATGATTGCTTGGATAGATTCCCATTTTAGTGCAGCACTGAATGCCATGCCCAGAGAGAAAATGTGCCAAACCTATGCTGCATTTAGATCTATCAAAGAACATTGCAAGTGCTTGTATGGAAATCTGTCTCCCCGTGGTGAGGCTCAACTGATCTTTGCCTCTCAGGTAAAATATTCTATATTTCCTTGTATAGGGTCACAGGGGTTCAATTGATGAGGCAAGTTAAAAAAGGCAAGACAAAACTTTCCACAATTTAAGATGAAAGAATGTTGAAATGAACAATTTCAATTTGGTACATTTTTGTGAAGGAGTTGCCTCATAGCTTGCTAAATACACCCATGGGTTGTTAAGAGAGTTGATGCACTTTTGTATGTTAAACATTATGCTAAAGTTTTAATATATACAATAGAACAAATCACAAGGGGGATTCCAAGCCATCCAATATCCCAGATGCGAGTAGAAATAATCTTGATTTACGTCATTAAAAAGTCATGAGTCAGTCAAACTGATGTCATATTTGGAATCTACATGTAAAATTACATTTAGAAATGTGGTTTTGAAAAGAGTTTATCAAATTTGAAAATTTAATTTTCTTTGAAAATGTGACTTCTAGGTCGGGGAGATTCCCCATAGAGCCCATGTTGTAAAACCACAAAAAGTGAAATATATTTTCTTGTGTTTGGCAGATAATATTTTCTTTTACTGGACATATTTTAATTTGTATATACTATTAGATACATAAAGGTAATATGAAAAGTGAACCATTAAAACTGATGCATATTCAAGTTTACGGGAATTTTCTAATACCCTGTCATGTTAATTCCCCCGAATCAGCCACTTGGTGGCGAAACTAATAACTACCTACTCGCATCTGAGTAATTGCGAAATTATTTTTAAGACAAATGGTTTCATACCAAGTCAGATGATGATGAAAATAACTTTGCAAATACTCATCCAAAAAGACCTGTTTTGTGTAACTCTGTCTAATTATCATTTATTCACCATTACTACTGTGCTTTGGTGCTACATAATTTGTGCCACATATTGGACCCAGTACTGACCAGTACCCCCCCCCATCCCCCGGCGTATATTGCATGATTTGCCACTGTTGAATGTATATTTGTAGGAACTTACAGACCTGGCTGAAAAACTACATGCAAAGTGCAGGACAGTATTGATCGCAAATGCCGCATATTTAGTTGATTCTGAACACTGGGATCTATTGTCAAAGAAGGAACAGAAAGACATCAAAGAAGGTAATGGAACATATGTACGAGGGTTGATCCAAAAGTTCTGAACCGTTTGCTTTTTGAAGTGATGTACACATATTCCAAAGCTTAACACAGGATTTCATTCAGTGCTTTCATTAGCCAAAACTTCCTCAATGGTGGAATAGAGTACTCATCCGAAAAATGTGGAGCCGTGGATTGTATCCACAATGTGGTGGACTGAACTTTTCACATCAGCCCTGAGCACAGGATTTCATTTACTGTTTTCATTAATCAATTATAACATGCAAAATTCTATTATCTCTTTTTAAACTATTTCATTATTAACATTTCAATGATCCACTGCACTTCTAATGATTTCACTAGTACAGTAAAACATTATTTACACATTATTTGTTCCTGTACATGTACATCTACGTGTTTTATGATATTATCTCTTTGTTTCAGCTGCATTGTATGTTTGTGTGACAGGTGCAAGACCAAAGACAGCCCAAAGGCCAGTTCTATCAAGTATGGCAAGGGTAAGGAGCCAGACTACTGTAGAAATTTATATATCAATGCAGAAAGAACGTGGTCCAAATTTTCATTTAAATATTTTCACATAAATTGACTTGTTGACCATGTATATGTAAGATGTTTTTGTATTCCAATGTGCTTTAGATCCAATGTTTCCTATACAATGTAGGGTACAGGTCTGCAGCCAGCTTTTGCCAAGGGGTTCACTTTTCCAAAATTCAAGGGGGATTCACATTTGACAGCTTTGGCACAAAATCACATGGAAAATGCTCAGAATTGTGAAAAACTGCATGATTTTGAAAGAATCTTTTGGCAGGGGGAGGGGTTTCGCTCAAACACCCCAAACCTTCTGGCTACAGGCCTTGAATACACGGTCATATTAATGGAGGATAGGACCATGTACTTGCAAAAACTTAGATAATAAGAAAACACTGCAGTTCCTAATGTTCTGTATTTTCAGAAAACCAAGCCAAAGCCAACTGCTAAAAATACAGCACCACAAACCAGAGAAGTGAAATCTAGAAAACAAGTCTCCAAAGTTAGTAGTACAAATAGAACCAAGCCCACAAATAAACATGAACCAAACAATAATATTACAAACAAAGCTCAACCAGTTGTTGCTGATCAAGAGCCCATATGTAATGACATTGAAGACAATACTGATGAACAATTACAAGATCAAAATGAGTTTGTGATTCCAAATGTAGAACTAGAGACATTGGCAGAACCTTGCCTCTTTATATGTGATCTTATTCCAATTTACACTGTGATTACGAGTTGAGAGCCATTATGGTGAAATGAATGTTAACATTATCAGTGGTCTGATCTGTTTTCGATATTTATTAATAAAAGCAGAAAAGCTATAACATTTCTGTCAACCATTTAAGCATTTTGTGGGACATATTTAGATGACATTTATGACATGTATTTATGCCATACTTGACATATATGACATGTATATGCCATATATATATGACATATATGGCATATATGTATGACATTTATGTATGACATATATGACATATACTGTATGGCATGTACACTCCCCTCCATAAGTTTGGCAACCTTAGCTCCCCCATTGAACTACGTGTTAAAGCCCCTTTACGTTTGAATTTTTATTTACTTAACCTGTAATGAAAATACTTATAATAATATTGATGGAAAGGTAACTTGACTTTATTTCCAATACCTCTAAAATTGGTGATTTTGATGAATTTTTGAAAATTGACATTCCCATGTTAACCAATGGGAAATGGTAGGTTTGCCGCAAGTCATTTGACAGAATGTCCATCCATCTGGGTCTTTGCAAAAAATACAAGTTAGGTAGGAAATTGAATTTGCTAACTTTATTTAACAAAAGATTGATACGTTTCTTCAGGTTCTACAAAGATATATGTTTTTCAAAAAACCTCTCCCATTGAAATAACACAGGAGGCGAAAAATGATTTTCAAAAATGACTTTGAAGCTCTGTGACTTCAGTATCCATCAAGTAAACTAAACACTTAGTGTACAAAAAATTTAGACAATTTAATTGTAGAACGTGACGATCAAGAGTACATTTTGAGCATGTTCTAAGTTCTAGAGGACTTACCTGTTCGAGTACGTTCGATGAAGTTTGTAAATAGACCCCAAACGGTTCTAAGTACGTCCAGTCCGTTCGTACACAGTTGAAGCCCGTTTTCGAGAACGTAGTGAGAACTAGTTTGGTGTGATAGTAGGGTTATCAACAAGTTAGCAAAAATATAACTATCACACCAAGCAAGTTGCCACTGCGTTCTTCAAAACTGGTTTTAAACTGTGTGCGAACGGAATGAACGTAGCTACAATTTTCTACGGTCTGTTTACGAACTTCGTTGACTTTCCCGGACGGGAAATGTGATTTAGAATTTTGAATCGATTCAAAATTCGATGGCGACCATACCGTTCTGTCATCAGGTCACGATGACCTTCTAGACTAAGGGACGCGTTATACGACGTTGCACACCGACGTGGTGCGACCTGAACGAACTGCGAATGAGATGGACGTATCGAAGACTGTTTATGAACGAAGTAGCTCATTATTTTGGGCATATTTCCCGACCACAGTCAGATTGAGCCCGTTTTACGACGTTTTCGTAGGACTGGTAAGAACGGGTAAGAACTTGTTTGGTGTGATAGGGGGGTTACTAAATTCTAATAAGTGGGAATCGGACCTGCAGGCCTTGCTACTTATACATGTTTTTTCTATTTTGAAAAATTCGATATGTGATGTATATTTCTTAGTTTTTCAAAGAAATTGTGGCGAAGTTGAGTCTCTCTATCTTTTACAAAACATGAAAACAAATATAGTTTAAAATATTAATTTATTAAAGAAAAGTTAAAGTCCAAAAATATCATTTCAATCGGCTACTTACAGTTTTTGGTTTGTCCCGAGTTCACGCAACGAGGTTCCGAGGATTTCAGACAAAATTGCCCCCTTTATACCCAATTTTTTTATGTGGGCCCCGCCAAAATAAGGGGTCTTATCCAATGAAATTCCCTAAAAACCCATTAACAAGAATTGGCCGGAAAGAAGTGTGAAAAATTATATGAAGATTAATTATCAACATGCCAGATTTCTGCCCACATTATTTTCTAAAAAGTTGAAAAGTTCCCATTTATTTCAGTTTTTGTTGAAACTTTTGAGACAGGTATGATTAATAACTTAATCCCAGAACCTCGGTTCAGACAATTCTCATGAACTTTTTACCTTACTCATTTAAACCATTAAGTCATTATCTCTTCAAAATACATGTTTTATAATATTTTAAACAATAAAAGTTAGCAAATTCCTTATACAATTACATTACAATGTTTTTCATATATCAAAATGTATATTTCACCTACAAAATACTGGTTTTTGGTCAATTTGTACATCATCACCCATCAATTTATCATATCCTATTGTTTTATAAAAATGACATCATATACCAATACGTTTATGAATCTATGGAAGCAAGACAAAACATCATTAATTGAATATGATAGCTTCTTGGCTTCATTCAAAGTTATACTGTCACCCAATAGACTAGACTTCCCCCTTTCTTGGAACCACTTCTTGCCATTGGCTATGTGATTTACCTGTCAAATCTACCACCAGTCCTTACTATAAAACATGTTCAATTGAATGCAAGATATCTTTATCTAAGTTTAACTTTGGCACTCTGCAACATCCATAGAAGTTTAAGATTGTGTCATTGAGTTCAAGGTAATATTGATAAATTACTAAATTAATAACATTTTTCATCTTAGAAGCCTCAGTTAATTTTACAAACATTAAATGGAAGTGAACAATTCTTCTTGTTTTACATTATGATGTCTCATTCGAAAGTTGTTTATATTCACGTGCCAAGAAATGATGCATCTTCAACTTCTACAGTAAACAAAGCTGCCAGTTCCCAAAACATTCTGCTGTTATGATGATATCAGCACAACGGAAGTATTTATCCTAAGATTTCTGTATTTGTAAGCAACATGTAGAGTATTCGAGATTATCATGACCTAAGTTTCAAAAATCCAATGAAAAATCAAACTTTGTCACAAAATCTCCAAATATTTCGTTGCGGTTTTATCTTCACATAGTAATTTTAATCACCGCCATCATTTCCAAAACGAGTTACCTTGAAATTTAAGTAGTAAAAACAATTTGCTACATTGGTGACAAATGTCTCTAGTTTCCTGTTGAATGTCGAGTCTTGCATCATACGAATGTAATTTTAGGCGATCTGTCTGCATAGGGTGGATATGACCTGTTCATGTTCACACAATCCCGTGCGCGTGATAACCGTATAAACAAGGTATACTGTAAGTGAAGGTTACTCTCAGATGAATTTCTGCACGTTTTTTATCGCACCCTAAGGTGCTATATTGTAATCAGTTTGCCGGGCGGGCGGGTGTCCCGAATAATCTTGTCTACAGGTTTCCAGCCAAACCGTTTGAGGGATTCATTTGAAATTCTCAGGGATGTTTCTACCTATGAAAGTTTAGAACTCATTAGTTTTTCGGCATTCCGGGTAAATGTTAAGGCGGCCATTTTGGAGTCTGTCAAGGCTTGTCTACAGGTTTCCAGCCAAACCGTTTGAGGGCTTCATTTGAAATTCTCATGGATGTTTCTACCTATGAAAGTTTAGAACTGATTAGTTTTTCGGCATTCTGGGTAAATGTTAAGGCGGCCATTTTGGATTTTCCGTCCTAAAATCTTGTCTGTCAAGGTTTGTCTACAGGTTTCCAGCCAAACCGTTCGAGGGATTCATTTGAAATTCTCAGGGATGTTTCTACCTATAAAAGTTTGAGAACTGATTAGTTTTTCGGCACTCTTGGTAAATGTTAAGGCGGCCATTTTGGATTTTTCGTCCTAAAATCGTGTCTCTGAAGGCTTGTTTTAAAAAATAAAAAAGAATTTCCCATTGAGAGAAATGTTAAATTAAAAATTTTTTTAGAAATAACTAAACGGTCAATCTTTCCAATTTTCACATATTTTGTAATACATCAGTATATCTTTTACGAGAATTTTTTTCAGGAAAATCTGAATTGTAGAAAAAAGCTGAAACACTGAAGTACAGGTAATACCTTAAAACGTGTCCCTTGAGGGTTGTTTACAGGCTTCATGGATTCATCCTAACATTTTAGAGATGTTTTTATGGAAAGTTTAGAACTGATTAGTTTTTAGGCAGTCTGGGTAAGTGTTAAGTGTATTCTGTTCAAGGGTGCGATTCTGTTCACCCTGTGGCTTGTTTTTTTTATATTTGTCCTGTTCATCTTCACATTCCCAGGGTAACCATATAACAAAATACTGCAACTTTGATACAAGTTGATACAATGGCCAGTCTACACAGCATCTTCGCCGTGATACTTGTAGTATCTATGCTAGTAAGTGCAACTATTTTCTCTCGTTCCATCAATGATAAGTCTGCCATGAAAGTTAAATGTAAAAATCGCAAGAACAGTTGTGCAAATTATCCGAGCATCTTTTTGAAAAATGGTCATCAATTTCAAAAGTGGGTCTAAATTTTTCGCAAAAAAATATTTTTGGGCACACTCCTTGTGAATTCATGATCTGATAAAATAAGTGGACTCTGAATACTTCAGGAAATTTGGGCGTTTAGCAATGCAAAATTTCGTTGAAATCCCGTAATGTGTTGAAACAATAAATCAATCAGGGAGGTAAAGATATTGCACATACAATCGAAATGTAAACATAGGCTGCGGTTGTCTTCCTCATGCCAAGGTCACATTTGCGCCAGGCGTCGGCCATTTAGTGGGAAGCGGCCGATTTCCAGATGTACACGGCGGCGGCGACTCTTCTCCGTTGTCTTGAAGTTACCGTGACTATGGTCATATTCGATAAGGTACTATACGGCGCCCTCAACGAATTTGCCGGAAAAATCGAACATACATCCTAGGCATATCTTTCAAATATCGTTCGGCTACCTTACGATTACCGTAGTGCCGTGATCACATTTGCTCCCATCTTCGACACCGGTGCATGGCCGATGACTATTTTCTTAAAAACTGAATGCAATTTCAGAATGTTCTCGGCCGGGCTCCGATACTGAAAATTGGAGCAAATATGACCACGGCATGATGCACCAGTCCGGGCATCGGCAATCTACAAGAGTGTCTAAAAGTATACCAAATCCAAGTATTTTTTTGAAAAACGTTTATATTACTTTATGCAGAAGTACTCGAAGGCAAAAACCGCTTTTACAAACTGACTTCTTACGTACTACAGAAGCCGGCTTCTGGAGTCACCAAGAAGCCGGCTTTTACAAACTGGCTTCTTACGTACTACAGAAGCCGGCTTCTACAGTCAACAAGAAGACGGCTTTTAAAAACCGGCTTCTGAAGGACAACAGAAGCCGGCTTCTGGAGTCACCAAGAAGCCGGCTTTTAAAACTGGCTTCTTACTTACTGACGTACTGCAGAAGATGGCTTTTGAATATAGTTTATATTGTCATATTTTTGCAAAACTATACGAGTAAATTGAATTCTAAGCATGGATATCGATGAATTTGACCACGTTCATCAATTCCAAAAATATTATGCATTGTATTTCTGTTTAATAAAAACGCACCGCTCATT